TCATAGGGGTTGAAGGGTTAACAGGTTTCCAAAATATTTAAAAGCTTCACACATATTTTTTTAAAACAAAATATGTTCTCTGTTTATTATTATTGGGGATAGCTATCAATGTTCCAAAATGATCACACAACAAAAAAACAGTTAGGAACTTTACAGAATATACCCCACTCTGATGAATCCAGTGATTATATTTATCTCTGAACCTTGTTCCATCACACATGTTGGTTCACTGCGATGTAAAAAATAATTGCAATGTAGTTTTTATTCCCCTCATCTTCCAGCCAAGGCATGACACCAGCCATTGTCAATAGAGTACAACTCCAATCCATTATAGTTCAGCTCAACAATGGTAAGGTAAAGTACATGTATCCAATCCAATAAACTCTCAATAATGCAAAACTGAAACCAAGTAATCAGTGTAAAAAACTATATCCATGCCACTTGATGACATGAATCAGAACAGTAACAAATCATCTGAAGATGCGAAAATCACCACTCTTCTACCTTCATACCACCAGCTGAAGACCAGGCAACAGTGCCGCTATTTTGGCCGTTAGTTTGAGCATTAGCTTCCTCACTATTCCACTCTCCTCCCCAGCCATTGCTGTTGCCAAACTACCACGAAGATCAAATCAGAGGTTTAACATTGCTCAGGTAAAAAAAGAAGAATTTCTAACTGCTTATCTTTGTTTGCAGTGGGAAATTGCACTGAATGTAAAGAAGAAACTCTTAACTTCTTGAGATCATTAACTACCTAAAACATTTCAAGGCTACAAATTGAACATTTATGTGAATGAAAATAATTATGATGTAACAATAAAACTGTACATCTGGCTCTTTGCTCTTCAAATAACCATGGATAGGATAAGTACTCAATGATCACTCCAAACTTTTACCAAAACCATTTTTTAATGGCAAAATTTGCATTTGTTTTACATGACTGTATGTCAAAGATTTTCAGATACAACAGCAGTTTGTATCATTTTTTTTTTAAGCAGAGGGGCATCATTAAAACTGACATATAACCAGTAAGGGCGGCTAGCATCTAATATTCCCTTGCAGTATCACCCCTAAATTTAACGTTGAGGTCACAATTTAATTGTATCAATGATCACCAACTCAAGAAGCTCTTGATTGTTAATAAACAAATCCTCCTTGCCAGCATCATTGCAAATGTTGCAGAGAACAGTATGGAGAATATGCATGTAGACTGGATGTCTGGGTGTAAAAGATTAATTGCTTCATGTCTGTTACACCATGGGAAGTTGTCAAAATATTTTTAGTGTACCTGTTTCCTGGTGTTTCTGGATGCAAAATGACCTCCTGCTAGGCCATAACTTGTGCCTTCTGCACTCTCTTCTAACCATTCTGGCACCTCTTGTGAAGCCCACAAAGAGCACATGCAAGTCAGAAGAAATGTCAACTTTTCAGAGCAACTCAGGCCATAACATACTACAGAATAGCTTGGAGTACTACACTGTACCCACTTTTGGGTCAAAAAATGGTGCCTTCAAAAAGTTTGCTTTAAAGGTAGGCAAATGATTCACCCAAAGAACAGATTCCACTGGATAATGAAGAACAATGTGCACTCTAAGCAGCCAGATAACCAAGGATATGCACTGGATGATGAAGGTGCCTGGATGTATCATAAAATTTGCATTCAACAGACCTGCTAAAGTTAAAGACGTTCTCAACATACATGAAGTGAATCAACTTACTCACTCATATT